TGGCTTACTGTTGTATTATCGGTCTTTACCACAAATTCAGAACCCAACAAATAATGTCTCCAAATCCTCAAACAATGAATTACTGCGAGAAGTACTTTCTCTGGAGCCGTATACCTCGCTTCAGTTTCATTTAGCTTCCTACTCTCAAATGCCACGGGATGTTTGTCTTGTAAGAGTACCCCTCCAATTGCATAGTCGGATGCGTCTGTCTCTACTTCTAGAGGTTTTTCCAGGTCTGGCAAGGTAAGCACTGGTTCACTGATTACTACATTCTTTAAATCGTCAAAGGCCTCTTGACACTCATTGGACCAAACCCACTCACAACCTTTCTTTAGCAAATCAGAGAGTAATTTTACTCTACAAGAATAACCTTCTACAAATCGTCTATAATAATTGGCCAAACCAAGGAAAGATCTAAGCTCACTAACATTTAGTGGGGTCAGTCACTCCTGGATAGCCTTCACATTCTCTTTATCCATACGAATGCGCCCTCGCTCAATGATGTGGCCCAAAAATTGGACTTGTGTTTGGGCGAAAGCACATTTCTCCTTCTTCACAAACAACTGATTTTCCCGTAATCTCGTCAGCACCAACCGAAGATGCTCCAAGTGCTCTTGTATAGAAGTGTTAAATATCATTATATCGTCCAAGTAGATGACTACGAATTTATCGAGATAGTCATGGAACACCTGATTCATCAAAGTGTAGAAAGTAGCGGGAGCATTGGTTAGTCCAAAAGGCATAACAAGAAATTCAAATGCTCCATACCGAGTTACACATGCCGTTTTTGGCTCATCCCCTTCGGCCACTCTCACTTGATGGTATCCTGACCTGATATCCAACTTCGTGAAATACTTAGCATTACTCAACTGGTCGAACAAATCGACAATCAACGGAATGAGATATTTATTCCTGACAGTCACTTTGTTTAATGCTCTATAATCAACACATAATCTCAAACTCCCATCATGTTTTCTCTGGAATAACACAGGCGCCCCGAAAGGTGACTTCGAGGGTCGAATAAATCCTGCTTAGAGCAACTCATCCAATTGTTTCCACAACTCTGCCAACTACGGAGGACTCATCCGATATGGGCACTTCGCAGGAGGTTTTACTCCCAGGATTAATTCAATCTCATGGTCTACCAACCGTCTAGAGGGAAACTCTTTCGGCAATTCACCTGGCATTACATCCTTAAAGTCTCTCAACAGTTCTTGAATATTCTTGGGCACCGTGCCAGGATTGTCATCCTCTTTGGAAATTGGAAAGACTAAGAAAGAAGGCTCCCCCTTTTTCACCCATCTCTTAAATTGGATAACGGACAATATCTTCTTCCTAGGACGAGGGAGAATTGTAGCTGGTACCACACATGGTTACTCCCCCATGAACATTAAACAACTTGATGCCGGGACAGGAATCACCTGGGCTGCCATCATAAAATCGAGCCCTAATACCACGTCAAAATCATCCATGTGGGAAACAGTGAAATCTACACTTCCTTCCCAAGACCCAAGCTTGATATTGACCCTCTTCATACCTCCACATATTGTTAAAGCTGCAGAGTTAACTGCTTTCATTTGTCCCACCTCCTTGGTGACAATCAACTTACATCTCTTAGCTTCCTCTAGAGAGATAAACGTATCTGTGGCCCCTGTGTCGACTAGAGCTTTAGAGGTTTTCCCATTTACGGAGATGTCCACATACATTAATCCCCTCTCTGGCTCTTTCCTCAAGTTACTCAACTGAGATTGTAATACAGTTATGAATCGGATGGAGCCCATTCTAGCCGGCTCAGGCTCGCCATCTCCCGTCGGAGCGTTCACTCGTTCTCATTTATTTGTTGTTGCGACCATGGCATTAAAAGCACTTCGTTGTGGACACTCTGTAACCCGATGAGGTCCATTGCAAAGAAAACACCTTAACGAGGGTATATTCCCTCCATTGCTCGATCTAGGACCAGTAGGGACTCTATTTTGAACTGGGTCCCTTCCAGGGAATCTTCTATTTGCTCCCCAACTCGATGTCTTCTCCCCTCAAGCCAACTTGTTCCACTAACCTGTTGGGTGTTAGCTCCACTCGTAGAAGGCATCTTGCGCTTTCCAGGATGATCGTTATAATTATTAAGGCACTCGGCAGCAGCTATCGCTACTGTCAAATCTTGAACCTTATGTCTCTGCAGCTTGAATCTAGCCCATGGCTTGAGCCCTTCAAGGAAATGAAACAACTTATCTCTTTCTGACATATCCTTTATATCCAACATCAATGTTGAGAACTCTCTCACATACTCTCGTATAGTCCCAGTGTGGGATAATTCCCTTAGCTTCTTACGAGTGTTGTAATCTACATTCTCGGGGAGGAAGGAGGTCTTCAACTCCTTCTTTAACGCATCCCAAGTCGTAATGGAGCACACTCCATCTTTAAACTTGGATCGCCACTATAACTTAGCGTCACCACCTAGATACATCAAAGCCATTGCCACCTTATATTCCTCAGATTCCGTGCGCATAGCTCGAAAATACTGCTCTATGTCAAACAAGAAATTCTCAAGCTCTTTAACATCCCTCGCTTCATCAAAGCGTTGAGGATCGGGGATCTTGGCTCGTACGTCCACTCTTTCAATCGGGTTTACGGTCAAGCTAGCTACCGCTGCTTGAAACACACTGATTTAAGCCTTTTGCTCATCATACCCAAGTTGTATGACGCCTATGGCCTCTCTTACCTCGTTGCCCAAATCAGTCACTGTCTCGAGCAAATCCTCTTGGGTCTCATCGACTCTCCTCATACGATCACCAGAGATCATATGAGCTCTAAGGGCTGCTAGCGCTGCTTCGATCTCTTCTAGCTTTTTTCGATCAACCAAACCAGTCTCTTGCACCACCGGCTCCGTAGCTTCCTGCTCTACACCTCTGTGAGAGCTTGTCGATCCGCCATTTCGTGTGCGAACCATTCTCGGTACAATCGGCTCAGTAACTTCTGGCTCTACACCTCTATGAGAGGTTGTTACTCCACCGTTTCTTGTGCGAACCATTCTCTGTAACTTGCTGGCACCTCTATGCCTGCAACACAAATAAGTATAATCGTGCCTAAATTAGAAGGGAAAGAGCAGCGCTGTGCTGAATCCATAATACCTCTATGCTTGAATTAACGATTGAGCACCTCTGTGCTTCAATCGAGAGCTGACACCTCTGTTTAGCTAAAAAGGGATTGAGCACTTATATGCATCAATCGAGAACTGACACCTCTGTGCAGTTAAAAAAAATGACTGAGTACCTCTGTGCTTCAATCAGGAGCTGACACCTCTGTGTAGCTAAGACTGATTGAGCACCTATGTGCTTCAACCAAGGACTGACACCTCTGTGCAGTCAAAAATGACTGAGCACCTTTGTGCTTCAGTCTAAAATCTGTCACCTCTGTGCATTAGAATGATTGAGCACCTCTATGCTACAATCTAAAATCAAGCACCTCCGTGCTGTGATCTACGGCCAAGCACCTCTGTGCTAGGTTTAGCACTTGTGCACAACTGTGCAACAAGCAGGTAACAAGCAATATCATGCTTTACTCAACAAATGAGCACCTCCGTGCTTTTAGTAAATGAACACGCACCTCTGTGCTCTGATACTAAGTGTCACAGACTTAGCCTAGTTAGTTCGGTTGCTAATCTGTGCGACACTCGAAAGGGACGCTTCCTAACCAAGTCATCCTTTATCTCGTATATCTGATCAAACAGAAACAAACATTGCGTTAGATCTTTATAGCCACATGGTCCTTCGACCAATAATCCGAGCCCGTGGGACATAGCGGATGCACACATTAACCCCCGAACTTCTCTGATAAAAAATGTTTTATTAAAAAAAACATCGGGTTACAGAAGACTCACCCACACCATCGATTAGGCCGTAGGGGCGACCCTCGATGGTGTTCATAAGACACGTACCTTTACCTGTGGATCAGCCCAAACTCTGTCGGCTGTCCACCCCCTACATATATGCGAAAACAAAATAACAGAAATGCTACCTATAGACGTTGAAATGCTCGAACATGGGACAATAAGTCATACCCCCACTCCCTACCTAAAACATTGAAATGCTTGAAAAGAGGACAAGTTTATTCTACCCTGTCACTAGGCCCTATACATGGTTGGCCTTGGCGTGCCTACCCGGTTGTGGCCCCATAAAAGGGACGACCACAAAAAAGCACACCCCGACCGGCTCCTCTATTCCCTGACGAAACCACCTGCAGCAAGAGAAGTTTCGATCCCTCTTTATTTTATTTTGTTTTAGAAATCGTAAAAATTATATGAAAATAAAGAATGAAATTGAAAGCTAGATTACTTTTTAGTTACATTCCCAGAAATTAATCTATAAACAAAACGTAAAAACCAACTAAGATACCTTGAAATATTTGCTTTCGGTTTTGGATTTAGATTGCTGAAAAATTTCTCTGTATTTTTATTGCTATTTTTCCTCTCAAAATTGAGAGTCCCCTGGTATATTTTCATTCGGCTTTTTATAGCCCTTTTACAAATCTAACATAATAAATAAATTATAAATTTGTTGTGTAATGGTGTTTTGAATATAATATCCCATGACTTTATTCCTTGTGAATGGCAGAAAACATGGATGAGTGGAGCGACGACAGAGCACTTTGGCATCCAATTGTTTAGGGTTACGTGAGTTAGGTCGGGTCGGTTGGACTTCGTGTCAAATATTGGGCCTGAATCAGGTCCTGCGGGTCGGGTCCGGATCCATATTCTGGACTCAGTTGGGTTGATGTTGTAATTTGGGTCTTGCTTTGTAAACAGGCTTAGTGAGTTGTTGTAATTTGGGTCTTGCTTTGTAAACAGGCTTAGTGAGTTGTTGTAATTGGGCTCGAACAATTGGACCTCATTTGGGTCACTAGTTGGGCCTACAAAATATATGTAATATAATTAATAATAATATAATATTTTTTAAGCCCGGTCAAAAATGGGTGTCTACAAATATACAAACTAAAACAATTCTATGGTGGCTGTTAGGCAGAATAGGCAAATGATTTATTCTATGTTGAATGAGCAGGGTTGGCTTTTGGATACGCATGAGCAAATTTCTGAGGAAGCTATTACCTTCTCTGAACAGCTGTTGGGGTCAAGAAACAACTCAGTTTCGGGGGAAAATGTTAGTTTTCTTAAGGAGTTACTGGAGTTATCTTTCTTGATCTGGCAAAGGATCATTTGCAGAAAAAAGTTTCTAAGGAAGAAGTCAAGGCTGCCATGTTTGCTCAGGACTTTGATAGGGTTCCTGAGCCGGATGGCTATTCCTCCCACTTCTTCAAGGTGGCTTGGGATATAGTTAGGGAAGATGTCTCTCAGGCTGTGTTTTATTTCTTTGAGCACTCGAAAATGCTGCCCGCCTTCAATGCGACCACATTAGTGCTTGTTCTAAAGAAAATTAACCCTAGTTACATGCGAGATTTTAGGCTTATCTCATGTCGCAGTGTTGTTTACAAATGCATAACTTGTATTATACTGTCTAGACTTAACGGGTCTCTGCCTGAGGTTATTTCTGAGAGTTAAAGTGCCTTTATTCCTGACCGAAGTATCATGGATAGCACCCTTATGGCTCAAGAGCTAGTGAAAGGTTATAATCGTGCATCTCTATCTCCTAGGTGTGCTTTAAAATTGGATTTGCAAAAGGCTTTTGATTCATTTGATTGATGTTTTTTGCTTGTTGTGTCAGATGTGTTTGAGATACATGATGTGATTATCTCTTGGATTAGGGAGTGTGTTACCACTCCTTTCTCTATCTCCTTCAATGGTAGTCTTGTTGATTTTTTTGAAGGGGCAAAGGGGGTTAGAAAAGGTGATCCTTTGTCCCCTTATCTCTTTGTGATCACTATGAATGTCTTATCGAAGTTGTTGGATACAGTGGCGGAGTATGGTGTTGTACAGTATCACTCGAAGTGCCAAAGGATCCAGCTTACTAATTTCTATTTTGCTGATGATCTGCTGGTTTTCTCCAAGGACACAGTTAGTTCTATTTTGGGCGTTTGGGAGGTCCTTAAAGCCTTCTGTTTTGCAGGGCTATAGATGAATGCTGGCAAGTCTAAGCTTTTTTTCCTTTAGCATTAGGGATGACACATTGTAGGAGATTCATGAGAGTACTGGTATATGTAGTGGCAAACTCCCGATCAGATATTTGAGTCTTCCTCTAAAAGGCTGTTTGTAAGGGATTGCCTTCCTCTTGTTGAGAAGATTGTTGCTAGGTTGCAAGGGTGGCAAGCTAATCTCCTTTCGTATGTTGGTAGAATCCAACTTATCTGTGTTGTCATTTATAGTATTGAGAATTTTTGGATTGTTCAAATGATACTACCGGACACGATCATTAAACGAATTAATCAGCTTTCTCTAAGTTCTTCTGGAAGGGTGAAGACAAGCCTGCAAAAGGGGCTAGAGCTAGTTGATCGCAGGTTTGTTCTCCCAAATCTGAGGGAGGCTTGGTCTCAACTCTCAAGGATCTAAAGATTTGGAATCAAGCTTGTATGGTTGGGTTGATTTGGAAGTTGTTGCTTAAGGACGGTTTTATCTAGGTAGTTTGGATTCATTCTTATATTATAAAAAATAATACTTTTTGGTTGCTATCGTGTTCTCGAAATTGCTGTTGGACTTGGATGAATTTATTACGGCTTTAACCTAGGGTTATGTTGGTTCAGGGGCTATTGAGGGATTCTTGTTCCTCTACTCGTGGGATTTTGAATGAGATGAGGATAAGGCGAGATAAAGTGGCTTGGGATAGACTTGTGTGGCATCCGGGGCATATTTCCAAGATTTATGTTATTTCTTGGATGACAATTCTTGATAGATTACCGACTAAAAGCAGGCTCATTTCTTTCGGTGTATCTATAAACGAATTGTGTGTGTGTGTGTTTTTTTTCCTTTCAAATGAGCAGAAAACGAGGGACCATTTGTTCTTTAACTGTGGTTTTTCCAAGGCCGTGTGGGAGGGTACTCTCCAGACTTGTCAGCCGTGGAGAAGGGTTTTGGATTGGGAACATGAGCTCCACTGGGCTTGTTACCATTTGAAAGGGAAGGTTCTGCTTTAGACTTTATTGAAAGTGGCTTAGAACTGTTTGGTGATGTGTATTTGGAAGGAGCACAATCAAATGATTTTTCAGGCAATTGTGAATGATATTGTTTTGCAGATTAAGGAGTTTGTGAGAATGATGTTTCATGATATGAAGGTTAAAACTAGAAGGTCTGTTAATAGGTATTTCTGTGCAGCTTGGGGTATTGATGGCTCAGGTGCATAGGGAGGTTTCGATCATTCTTTTGTTTTTTTGTGGGGGCTTTGTGCTTTCCCCTGTTTTGAGTGCACATGTTTGGTTTGTACAGTTTGTGTTACTTGGTAGGGGAGGATTGTGTATTGAGTTTTGTTTTGAAATGAAAGCACACATTCATCTAAAAAATTGTTGGCATCACAACATTTGGGTCAATGTTGTGAGACTGATCGACTGCACGCGCTTCTCCACTTTCTTTAAGGAAAACCCTTTGCATTTATAAAATGGGTCGTCATTCATTTGCATTCCAAAGGGATCCATGGATGGTATGTAATGCCTGCTAAAACCAGGTGGTTAAAAATGTTTAGCACAAGTATGAATAAAGAATTTCGATCCAGTAATCCTCAAAACAGCAACTACAGATTGTACTCTCAAGCATGAAAGATTATAATACCATCCTCGGTAAGCTAAAAAAACTGAGAAACAAATAATACTGATTCATTAACCTTAGAATGAGAAAATCAGTCTCACGTATTAACTATGAGGGTGTCCCCAAAATGATTTCTTATGCACGTAAAAGCACCGACCAACACAGCTCAAGACTGAGAATCGTTACGATAAAATCTGCATCTTTCACATACCTTTTCCACTGCAAAGACGTGCACGAGACCATAGAACATAGAATGTGTTTAACATACAAGGATGGTTTTAGACATCCAACTGACACAGCATGCCTCCAAATGCTACACAGAATAATTTGACTATTAGGAACTAAAAAGACATTTTTGCACATGGCTAAATTCCGCCATAAAATGCTAGTTTCCATACAACAACAATTCCACATCACTTTAACATTAGTCACAGTAACTTCAACTTTTTATAGAGACTCTGTAACTGAGAAAGGCTTAACTAAAATTGAAAGATAATGTTTAAAGAGCAAATCCATTTCCACTATTTCCCGATGTCTACTGATATTCAATATAGAAGTAGGGGAATTTTGGAATTTCCACTTTTTCCTCGTCATTAATGCCCACTTGTTATCAGAATTATAATAGAATTACCAGCATATGCACTTGATATTGAAAATTTCATCAAATTCTAACAATACAAGACCCACACTAAGCATCAAAACTCAAAGGCTAAGACAAACTCCTACTGCTCCAGAGAAATTTACACAAACATCCAAAAGGCATAAACAAAGATGAAACGCTAAGACATACCTCGAGTTCATGGGGTCTGGGGGAAAGAAGCCGAACAGATGTAACAGAAGGCTAAGTGAGAGCTGCTGACACATAATTAAGCTATCTTGGTGATGGGTTTCTCCAGGGGTACGAGTTGAAAATGATGATGAACATTAAAAGATTGGACCAGATGAGATGACGGGTAGAAAAGAAGTGGAGATTGACATGGAAAAAACTGGGATTTATTCTTTTTCAGAAATAAAAATTGAAAATTTGATTACTAGAAGAGAAACTGTGTGATGTGCTGCTTCAACTTGGTGCCGCCAAAGTGATCAGCTTTATGAAGTTGGGTCATAAATTAGAAGAGCCCAATTCTAAGCCGAAACCGAAACAAATTCTTTCATTTACGCCCAATAGCCTTCGCAAAGAGTTCAAAACTTAAACCCCTAAAAAAAGCTTAAGGAAGAACTCGTCGAACACTCTTCTCCCTCTCTCTTTCGCTTTGCTCCTCTCTTCATTCTAAAACAAGCAAAACCCTAGCAGCAATGGCATCCATGCTAGTAATTTCACTTGTCTTCACTCATTTTTCTTAGTGTATTGAATTTCTTTTTGAAATGCTTCTCAATCTTTCTTTTCCTTTTCTTTTCAGCAACCTCAAATCATTCTTTTGAAAGAAGGGACGGACACTTCCCAGGGGAAGGCGCAGCTAGTCAGCAACATAAACGCTTGCACGGCCGTGGCTGATGTAGTTAGAACGACTCTGGGTCCCAGGGGCATGGACAAGCTCATCCACGATGACAAAGGAAATGTCACCATTTCCAACGATGGTGCTACCATCATGAAGCTTCTGGATATTGTCCATCCTGCCGCCAAGATCCTCGTCGATATCGCCAAGTCTCAGGACTCCGAGGTCACTAACTATTCCCTTTTACTCTTTTTTATGTTGTAGATTCCGAATTGTTTTATCCAGTTTTAATTCAATTGTAGTTTAAATAGTTGCTTGGACATTGGGTTTTCATTACTAAGCTGATAGTTCGATATTGAGTTGGTTTTTGTTCAGCATCATGAATCTGCTTAAAGGTATTGATGCTATCTAGATCCACTATTTTTCGTGCTATTTAAATGAATTAAGTAGCTTTGTTCTTGTGTCTTGCAGGTTGGTGATGGTACTACAACCGTTGTACTGCTAGCTGGAGAATTTTTGAAAGAGGCCAAGCCTTTTGTTGAGGATGGAGTCCACCCTCAAAATCTTATTCGCAGTTATAGAACTGCTTGCAATTTGGTGAGTTTACGTTTTTAGCCCTCCTATCATGGTTTAGATGTGGCAGTAGTTTTTATGTGTGTATTTATGTTGATTGTTTTACCTAATGGACAGGCAATTGAGAAGATCAAAGAACTAGCTGTTAGTATAGAGGGGAAGAGTCTAGAAGAGAAGAAAAACTTACTAGCTAAATGTGCCGCAACAACACTTTCTTCAAAACTCATTGGTGGAGAAAAGGAGTTTTTTGCATCAATGGTTGTGGATGCTGTTATTGCAATTGGAAATGAAGATAGGTTAAATATGATTGGAATTAAGAAGGTAACCTTCTGTTTCATGCCTTATTGTCGACCCTTTTTGCCTTTTTTTTTCCTGATATTTATACTTGGGTCTTTTGAAATGATGCCCTGTCATGGGAAATGATATTTTGGATCCAATGTGTCTTATATCACACTATCTTACTTCCTAGCTGTGTGTAGCACTTGGCTGCTCTTTATATTTAGATTCTCATCCAATGTTTAAAAAGGTGCAACTGAGGCGTGCCTAGGCGCTAAGGAGAGGCGAGGGTGAAGTGCCTAATTAGGTCTAGGCGAGGTGCTTTCAATGAAACGCAGCAAGGCGCTGCCTTTTCAATTTTTTGTCTTTTTTTAATTATGTTTTACACGCTAACTTATATATCAACAACTCAAAAGAAGTAAAAATGAAATGTCAATGAAGAAAAGAGTAAAATATGGTGGGTGTGACTAGAAAAGAGAGTTTAATGGGAGACGTATGAAAATTTGGCATGAAATACAGATAAAAGGGGGGGGTGCTTTACCTTATATAATTACTGTTTGTCTTGAAGTTTGAAAGAAATACAAA